TTGAAAACAGACAAATCTCCCATACAGAATAATTCAAAATAATAAATGTAGATACTCTGCCATCAAGGAGATGAAGCATAACTTCCTACATGCCTACTGTGTATGGAGACTTCCTTCCAAAAAGTACCATCTAAAAGGAGGAGAGGAGTAACTTAAGGGTGGAAAAATCTAACAAACAATACCTTAGCCAGGTGATCAAAGTCAACATCAACATGAAGTCACACTGATAGCGTGTACCCTTGATGTGATATGATGAGAATGGTACTGTGGTCTACCAAAACCATACTACCCAAGTCTCATGATGAGACAAACATCAGACAAATTCCATTAGGGGGCCATACTATAATATACATGACTAGTCCTCTTCAAAACTGTCAAGGTCATCAAGAACAAAGTTGCGAAACTGTCACAGCCAAGAAAAGCCTAAGGAGATATGACTAAACCATATACATTTATGGTATCCTGGATAGGAACCTGGCCATTAGGTAAAAACTAAAGCTGTATAAATGAAGTATGGAATTTAGTTAATAATAATGTCTCAATATTGGTCCATCAATTGTGACAGAGGTACCATACTAATGTAAGATATTAATAATACAGGAAACTGGGTGTCAAATATTTAGGAATCCTCCTATACTGTCTTTACAACTTTTCTATATATCTAAAACTGTTTTAAAATAAAAAGTGTATTTGAAATTATAATTAAATTTATTAAGTCACACTTTTAAATAATTTATAGAATACTGCCAACCTTTGATAACTAGGAGAAATTGCTCTCATTCTCCAGTGTTAGAGTTCTACTTCTCCTGAACAGCAGTAAGGTTCTTATCTGTTTACTCAGTTAATCTTGATAATGCTCTAATCTTTGCTTTGGCCACTAGGAAGCTTGGAAACAAATCTATTAGTAATTATGAAAATCTTAGGAGCTTTTACAAAGTTCGTAGCTTCATCTTAGTTGTTCTACTAATATTTTCACTCCTTTGTGATTTTTCATACATATTTTATCCTTTTATCTTATCCTATTATCAGTCATCTCAAAACTCTTTAGAGGGAGGATTTATATATATGAATATGTTTTTGTCTGATAATACAAAATTGCATTGTTCAAAGTTCTGACTTCCCATTTGTCATGTAACCAAAATTCTGAGTAGTGACCCACTCAAGGGTTAGAACGGGGCAAATTACTAAAGCATCCAGCTTCAGTTTCTGAACTGCAAAATGGTGATAACACCACCTGCTTTAACCAATGGTCATGAGGTCTAATGGGGTTCATATTTGCTAATATGCCTAGCACAGATAGAGAGAAGGCGCCTGAAAATGATAACAATCGCATTATTAATAACAAAAATAAGAATCATTATTTTCATTCATATAATGAAAAGAATGGTGCTGAATTACAAATTAATTATAGGCCAGGTGGTGACTTTCTCGGTGACGCAGATAAACAAGGGTAGCTACCATATTTAGGGGAATGAGAACAATAACTAAAGGTGGGTGGACAAAAAGGGGAGGACAAAGCCAAATAGGGGAAGAGGAGAAGGAGGACTTCTTACACAATGTCACTGCCAACAAGTCTGAAATCTTTAAGACAAGGTGAAATCTGATCACTTTTTAGCCTTCACTCCACTAGAATAATAAAAAGCAAAAAAAAGAAAGAAAGAAAAAACACCCTCTAGTTTTTCTGGCACTCACTTCTCCAAAGCCTCCCAAAACAATCATAGTAAGAGCCAAAAAAAGACCAAATCTGAACCTCTCCTTGGCCCAAACGATGCCAAGTTCATGTTTCACTGCCCAAAGTTTTTTGGTATAGGCACATTCAAACTCAGACCCTCATCACCATTATTCTAGAAAAGGGGACAGACAATGGGGATTTTTTCATTAAAAGAACGATGCACTGTTGCAATACTGTGTGCACAGTACCTCTAACTCCCTCAATGGCCCTAAGAGGACACATCCAGATAAGGACCTGAGGCTCAGTGGGGGAAATAGTTTACTCCGGGTTCTTGCAGACAGTACACGACGGAGACACTGAACCCAGGTCAGTCTGACTATAAGGATTTCCCTCTTTCCACTATGCCAGAAACTTAATGCAAAGACTCCCTGCCAAAATCGATAGAGAAAGGGAACTAAATAAAATAGCCAATTCCTTCAAAAAATTTCTCATCGGTGTGTTGGAAGTTCTTCTGTTACCTCAGTCAGCCCACACAATAACGCCCCAGATTGGGTGCTGTCATTGTCCCAATTCTATACTCGAGAAAGCTCAGAGGGCTCACTTGTTTTGTCCTAATTGTGCAGGGTGAAACAGAGAAGGGAGAAGGACTTGAGAGACTGAGGAACCAACATGAGAGAAAGACAGGTGTAAGAGCCAGGGATGCCAGGGAGAGGGCAACCACCTCACAAGAGAAACTCTGCCTGGTGCCCAAGGTCCACAGGCTCTGCTCGAGGAGAGAAAAGCTGGAGAGAAGGCCTCGGAAGGTGCTCATGAGCCCGGGGCAACGGGCAGGGGAAGGGGGGATTGCAGATTTGTACTAATGAAAATAGAATGAGTCATGAGTGTCACAGCCAATAAGAAAAAAAAAAAATGACAGGGGAGACTGGAGAGCCAATAAATCATTTCTGAACATTAAACTTTCTGCTTCCTGAGAAAGGTTTCAGATTGTCGTGGTGCCGATGGAAGCCCCCAAGCACATTCTGATGGGCCAAAAAAGAAGCTCCTGTTCTCAAATTTACTGGGCTCATTAAGTTTTAAAATACTTCCAATCCCTCACAGGTGTGAAGTACTTTAGAGTCATATCAGTTTCCTGTACATTCTTTTAAGCAGTGTTGCCCAAAATTACCTGATCATATATAACCACCTGGGGTACTTGTTTAACCTATAAATTCCCAGGTATTCCATGGAGATTCTGATTCAGTAGGCTAAAAACTGGAGGCCCTGGGGATCTTGTGCTTTGAATAAATGAGTCAGCTGATTCCTATCATCAGGCTAGTTTGGAAAAACTGCTTTAATAGGACTCTCCCAACAAGCTTTCAAGGTAGGTATCATGACCCCCATTTTAAAGATAGGTTCAAAGAAGGAAAGGACATGCCCAAGGTCACACATCTCACGTCTGGCAGAATGGAGAACTACAAATCACACTGTGACTCCACAGTAGGTATGCATGCCACCACACTGAAATCTGAGCCAGAGCTAGCTTCAAAAGCCCATTCCTTGCTGTCTTAATATGGCATCAGACACCAGGAAATGAGGGTGTAGACTATCCAGTGCCATCAGGAAGAACCAGGGAAGAAGTCAACTCCCTGGGTTGAATAACACTCAAGGAAAAAGAGAAGGAAAGCAAGATCCTCCTCTATCTGCAGTTCTATTTTTGTTTTTTTAAAGGATTTATTTACTTGAGAGAGAGCGCACAGAGGGAGAAGGAGAAGCAGACTCCCTGGGAGGAGGGAGCCCGACATGGGGCTTGATCCCAGAACCCTGGGATCATGACCTGAGCCCAAGGCAGACACTTAACCGACTGAGCCACCCAAGCGCCCTGCAGTTCTATTTTTGAGCCCTTAAATTTTGTGGGCCAATGGGGTATTACCAACACCCACACTATTAGCACTGCTTTGACTAATAGGTCCCTTTGGCTAAAATGATGGAAATAGTTCTTTCACTATTGCACGAAGGTAGAAAGAAAGGTCCTTCTAGAAATAACTTCAGACAATTAATGTCACATCAAAAGAAGAATGCTCTAGATGATATCTTCACCCACACACTGACATCCCCATTGGTGATAGCAGCACAACAGTGACTAATTATACCTTCTGGAGTCAAGTTCAGACCACTCCCCCAGAGCCTGCTCCCCCAGACAGGGGTAAGTACCTGAGGTGTGCTGAGGCCATTTTTATACACATGTGGATCCCACTCCCTGAGACCTGTGGCTAATGATCATTTCCCTGGCAGTAGGGGAGCATAATTCACATGAAGAATGGCGTGCTTGTGAAACACACCCTCTACTATCTCCTTTCTGGAAGCCCCTCACACTGAACTCTTATCAACTGTTACCAAGAAAAGGTCCAAATCATACAAAATGAGATAGACAGGAAGAGCACAGGGAAAATGGTACTCCTATTCCAAGCTTCCCTCGACTTTAAATAAAAAGGAAAATGGGGAGGATTTAGCTCTCCCTGAAGGAGCTGACTTTAAGATCAACACCTGCCTCCCTAAATATATGTATTTATACAGGTTTATCTGTCCTCTGGGAAATGATCGTCTTCCTCACAGATTTGTTCAATACAGATTATCTAAATCATTTTCAAGATGAGAAAACCCCTCCCCCTGTCCTGCTGCCTCTCTTGTGTATCCCCTGAAACCTGAGGTCAGGATGACAACAGACTTGCAGATGTTGAGATTTCATGTTCAACCTGTCTCTATTACACACACAAACCCACTCTGTTAATTATAGCAGCTGCTACTTCACACCAAGTATTTTTTAAATTGCCTCTGCCATGTAGCACATACTTATTTATAACATTCATAATTTATTGAAAAATATTGTGACTTCAACATATAGATCTCTACACTCTGCAATGATTCAGGTACATTAATATAAAAAGCAACCCACTCATCCAGTTAAAATCAGCTTCCTCGAAAAACATATCTCTTGCCTTCAATTTAGGGGCCAAAAAATATATATATTTTTTCTTTTATTCATCATGTAAAAAGTGCCTTTGGAAAAACAGTCACATTTCATGATGGACTGTTCATGTCTCCTTCAAATGTGTCCAATTTTAATGAATGGTCTTCACCTTGGATACCAACATTCCAGGCCTCATAGGAACAATGGTGTTTGGGCATGTGCAGTGGAGGTGGAAGATGGATTCAAGATGTTTCAAGTATGCAAAATCGCATGCAGATGTACAAACAGTATATCCAGTCAAAGCAAGTTAAGAAAGCAATATATATACAGACACCCGAGAATGGATGAGCACAAATAAAATCCAACTTGTAATTAACATACCGTGCTGAGACACCTGTTGCCTTCCACGATAAGAAGTCTGGGAGATCAAAGAAATGTCCCGCCTTATCCCAGCAAGTCTCTCTCAAGTTCTGCCAAATTAAATATATATTAGAATCAATTACGGGCTTTTTCCCCCCTACCCTTCCCCTCTTTCAATGTTTCAAATTTTTCCAAACAAAAGCATAGCCAACAGTGTCCCATAAAACATCTGTTCAGGGGCTGGGGGCCAGGGGGCCGGGGAGGGGCGGGGATGCTATGTAAGCAGTACGTATATAGGAAAGAAAAATTGGCAATTATTGATCCTTCTAAAAATGATCATCATTTCCCTTTTATTCTCTTGGCCAGCCTGGAGGGGAAGAAGCATACTCTGTGAGGATGTGCAATCCATCTTTCCAGTGAGGGGTCACAGGATACACTTCAAGACACACAGCAAGATTTCAAAGCTGAACAGTTATAAGCTGGGAAGAAAACTGCACTAAGAAACTACCCCATGAAATGGAATGTGTCCCGCCATGTAGAATTCTCCCCACATCAATGGGTTCCAAAGGCAGGAGAACAGTTGGTCCCTGCCTTCAAAGAACTTCCAGTCTGAGCCAAAGAGAATGGCACATACCCAAGCTATTCTTTTTTTTTAAAAGATTTTATTTATTTATTTGACAGAGAGAGACACAGCGAGAGAGGGAACACAAGCAGGGGGAGTGGGAGAGGGAGAAGCAGGCTTCCCGCGAAGCAGGGAGCCCGATGTGGGCCTCGATCCCAGGACCCTGGGACCATGACCTGAGCCGAAGACAGACACTTAACGACTGAGCCACCCAGGCGCCCCCCACGTTATTCTTATAAAATAACTAAACATTTGTTTCTTCCAGTCTCTTCCACACTGCCAATGTGGTCAGATTTTTTTTTCTTGCCACTGGGCTTTTTCTTTCCTCTGCCATCTCTGTCTAGAACATGGATTCCTCACCCACCACCCTGTTGCTTCCCAGGATCCACTCACCTGCCCACTTTGGTCAACCCTATCCACCCTTCCTTGGAGAAGCCTTCCAGGATCTCCTACTCAGGGTAGGTCTGAGTCTCATACGACCCACACTACCCCACAATTATTTGTGTACTCTCTTTCTTTACTGCAAGAATGTAAGCTCTACAGTGTCAAGGACCCTGTCAATCTTATGCACTATGATATACCCCACAACTCTCTCCTCTCCTTCCCTCCAAAGGACTGGACTGTTAGCCGTGAGGTAGAAGCTACCTGACTCCAGTCGCCTTACACACTTAACTGGACCAGGGATGGACATATGACCTAACTGAGCCAATCAGGTTCCTTCTCCAAGGAAGTTAGACTCAGGATCCAAATGGAGTCATTTAACTTCTGCCTATGAATGAGGGGAGATAAACTTGGAAACTATAAAGTGGACATTTTCTGCCAAGTACCTAGAGAAGCAGAACTTTGCAAAGAAAAGAGTAAAGCAGACAGAAGCAGTAGCAAAAAAGGTCTCCTACCATCCAGGCAACTCTCCAAGTCCTGGTTTCAATTATTCCCTTCCCAAGAGGCTACAATAAAAGGAATATATCATAAGCACAGAGTATCCTGGGGAACCTTAGGGCCACAGTGAAGAAGTTCCACAAGAGATATATTCCCGTGTCCATGAGAGGGTGAAACACAGCAGACACTCAATAAATATTTGTTGGACAACTAGACAAACTGCTCACTTTCACCTTCCAATCTCTTTCATGTGAAGAACGCTTGAGTTTAGAAATGGATTCCACCTGTGTTATCTCCTCCGAATGAGGGAAAGTTCTGAGTATTATTACATCTACTTTACAGACATATGACTGGCCTTTATCTACATTTGCCCTCAAATTCTCTTTCTTCCTACTTCCTCCTTCCCTATCACTACTGTATGAACTATCTATGTGCATGACAGAGAAACTGAGTATAATCCCAGGTCCAGGGTCCCATTAAAACAACAGTAATATCAAAAGGGTTCAGAAGTAAATGACAGTGTGAAGCCCATTTTCCATTATTGTTGTTGTTGTTTATTTGTTTTAAACTCCTAAGCACTGGGGTTGAGAGCTTAACATCTAGAAAGGGCTAAGCTTCTCTTTGAATGCCCATACATGTTCACGGCAAACAAGGCAAAACTCACAGCTGACTAAATGTGCCTAACACAGCTATGAACCAGTTGTATCTTCAGACCCTAATAGGGTCACAATCAGGAAAATGGTAGCCTTTGAAGCTGTGTGAGTCAACCTACTAGCCTGTCTTCGGGGCAACCCCCGAAATCTCTCCTTGTGCTCTGTGGTTTCGGCAATCAGTTCCTAGGGAGAAAGAGAAAAGGCAGCCTCCTCCCACGGGCTCCAGAAGTCCAAGGCCAAGTCACCAGAAATGAACCGCCAAACCACAGTAGCAACAACCAGCACTTCAAGCCAAAGCTGAACAATGTTCCTAAACTCCGAAAACAACTGCTTCTGTTAGATCTTGTATATGGTCATTAAAGATTTCGCATAATGAGAGCTTTCAGCCTGGAGCCATGCAGACAGCCACTGTGGACAATGGGACCCGAGCAAATGTCTCCAAGAGAACTTCAAGCTTCTTGCCAAAAAGAGACACACTGCGGTAGGAGGCGTGAGGCAGCCAGGGAACATCATTTCTTCTTGAGACCGGGCCAGCTTCATCTACCAAAGCCGCAGACCCCAGTCCAACCTCTGTCTATAAGATGAGAAACCAGAAGCATCTAATTAGAAGTATGATGTATCCTTAAGAACACACATGGTCTTGGAGGAAGAGAGAGCGATATGGTCCCTGCTTTCTCTACAAAAGCAGTCTGGAGATTAGCCAGCAAAGAGAAGGGGGCAGAGTTTACAGGGATGAGAGGGAATGCCTCCTAAAGCCTGATCTCTTACTTTGAGATGCTGACAGACTATCTGTAAGGATCCCATGCTGTTCTTATGTTGGGCTACATGATTCACAAGTGCTTTGTCATCGAATGCCAGATGGGCCAAGAGCACGTAGCCCCATGGATGGATTTTTAATCCAGTTCTGTGGGAAAATCTCTCCTTCCCTCCCACTCCCCAGCCAGTACACAGTCCCAGCTGAGGGCCTCAATCTTACTGAATTAATTCTATTTTTTGAACCATCGGGCCTGTGACTGTCCTCCTGTATTCCTCCACAGCTCACGAGAGAGCCCCCACACGCCTGATCACATGTGACTCTCAGGGCGGTTCAGGGGTGTGTAGGTGAATATACAGCAGTCTCACATTAAGGACGTAGAAACAATTTCAGACAGGGCTTAGGCCAAAGTCACAGAGGGCCTGGCCTTCTACCTCTAAAGTGAGTGTTCCTTTCTCCCACTATGCCACAGTCACCATCCTGAGGCTCCCAGACCCGTCAGAAATGTGGGGTCTGGCCTTTGAGGAACATCATGATGGAAGCTATTGCCATCCTTTACAGAAGAAAACAAGCAAAAGCCCTTCCAAACACATTTCTGTACACAATTTAAAAAATTTCAGAGATTTCACTTCCAATCCTGAGCAGCTCATTTAACTTCTGTGGACCTAATAACACCTTCCATGCACGGATGGTGTACGGGGCGGAGAAAGCACAGAGCAGGCCTTCAACACACACCAACTTTAGCTGTATCTCATCACATGACAGCTGAAGCCAGTTCATACTAGAAGTTCTCTGTGCAGAATGAGTTAAGCCTATCTTCCAGTTACCAAGCAACTAACAAAAACTAGTCTTTTCAAGAAAAAAAAGGAATCGGCCGTGATTTGGGGTGTATGACTTGGCACTAAAGGCTTCTGCATTCCAATAACAATCCTTTGAGCTAAGCAATCCCCCAGGCTTGAAAGCAACCAGAGAACAACTTCTTACTTTTTTTTTTTTTAATCTATTACTTCATAAAACCACAGCATTTCTTGGGAGGAGGCTACAACTCAAAGTGCACACAGCTGCGGGTCTCAGCAGAGGGTGGAGATAGAGCAATATAGCCAAGATTCAGAGCCAGGCAGCAGCCGCCCTGCCAGCCTCGGAGCAGAGAGATGGAACTTTCTCCCCTGCCCTCTCTCTGTGTGTCCAGGGAGGAAGTGAGGTATCTCCCGGCTTCTTGATGCTGAAGGAACTAATGGGGAACAGGAAGCAAGTCCTGCAGGGTGTGTCGGAAGACACCAGGGTCTAGGAGCGGCATGAGAAGGTAGGGATGAGCAGCTAAAACAGGATCATCCAAGGATTTTATTATGAATTGCAAAGACGTGCTATCTGGGCTATCTGCTGCGTGCAGTGAACAAAAGGGAGGGAACAGAGTTCCCTAATTGCTCACCCACTGAATGATCCTGCCTGAACAGTCCAAGTACAATGTTTTCCAGCATAACTTCCAATGAAAAAGCAAAAGCTTTATCCTCACTCTGTATCGTAGACTCCAAATTAGGGCACGAGCTGATAGGCCAGAGAAGAAAGATGTTTCAGGAGGAAACGTAATCCTCAGTGTCATTCTTAAAAGAAAAATGATGCTGAAAACATAGAGTGGGTCATAATCTGCAGCCAGAAACCTCCCAGAATGAATGAAACAAATGTGTGTTTCAAACTCCCATCCACACAGAAGAGAACAAACACCAGACATATCTCCGGTCAGACAGGCAGATAACGCTGAGAGGTTTGTGCTACTAGAGGTATCTAAAAACTGAAAACTTACCATTACATTCCTGGCCTAGAATCACTGAACTCCTTGGCATAGCCCTCAGGACACTCAACACCCTGGCTCCAACTTGGCCATTATAATGACGAATCCTTCCGGGCTCATCTCCTCGTGCGCTGCACCCAGCATTCACCTCATTTCCTTCACTTGCCCAAATGCATTATGCTCCTTCCACATTTCCACGCCTGTGTGGAGGCTCCTGCCTCTACTTGGATTGCCTTCCCCACCTTCTCCCATAACCAAGCTTCTACCTTTGATTCAAATCCAACTCAAATGCCATCCTTTCATTGAATCCCTCCAGGGCCCCGCTGTATCCCAATTATATAAACATGTGCTTAAATCTGCCTCAAAATGACAGATTCCCAGAGGGCAAAAACCAGCTCACACATGGGGGAAAA